CCCAAGGACTTCACAGAGTAGTGCCTGCAATGTGCAGCCCTAAAGGTTTCCCCAGGACTCTGGTGGAGGGAACTGATCCACGTCCCCCATTTCATTGTAGGTTTGCTCTCCCATGGTGAAGGTCAGCTTGTACCGTAGCCTCACTTTCTCCTGGAGACAAGAGAGGAAGGATAAATGGTCAGAAGGGTGGCAAGAAAGTCATGAGGCACAAACCAATCAGGTCTCTAAGACGCTGCAGAGAGGACAGGGAGAGGGTGCCCTAGCAGCAAGACCAGCCTCTGCTCATGCCCCAGAGATGGTGCCGTTACCTTCTGTGGGTTAGCGAGCAGCAGAACTTGTGTGATGGCACTGGGGTGGACAATGGGGTTGAATGCCGGCAGCTCTGTGCCTGAGGGAGGCTGTAGCTTCACCTTCATCACCTAGAGAGAGAAAAGAGCATCCTCCGCACTCCTGAGGACTTGGTAGCCAGAGGCCCTGCTCCTGTATTTGGGAAGCTTCCACTGCTTAATCAAAGAGAAGAATATTGTGCTGGTTCCTGCTAATCCAAAAGCAACACAATTTGTTCTCAACCCCACAGAGCTCTCTGCACCCACTCTGTGTTTCCTGCAAAGGGAGAATCATACTTCAGCCTAGTCTGGGGACCTCAGCCCCAGCAGCTGCCTTACCTTGGGGACAGCAGACTGAAAGACAATATTGCGGATGGGCTGTGGGGCCGTGCTAAGCATAGAGATCACCACTACGAGCACGTCAGGCCTCTCAGGTAGGGCATCCTTAGCAAAGTGGAAGAGGACACGGAAGCCGTGCTGATCGTATACCGTCACAGGAAGGATGCTGCCTGTGGGAAAGGCAGGGACAGGCAGAAGTCAGCCAGGGTGGAACTAGCCCTGCAGCAACCTTTCCCCATCACCCAAACTCCATGCAAAGTGGCAGATACTGCTCCTCCTTAACCTCTACAAAATCCAACAAGCAAAAAGTTTCCTCACGTTCTTCCCTTCCACGTGCACATGGTTTGTTCCCCCCAAGCTTGACCCCCTCTTTCTCCCCGGCTCACTGGGTTTGATTGACTCCAGAGGCACAGTGATGTTGGCCAGCGAGATCTCCTGGGGCAGGCCAGTGGCCGGAGGCCGTGGTGGGACTGCAGGACTTCCTGCTGCTGTGGTGGCAGCTTGTGGAAGCGGAGCAGGTAGAGGCAGCTCTGAGGTCAGGGGCAGCGTGGGATTAGGGGAAACACTCTGAAGCACGGGCAGAGCACTGGGATTGTGGGCCGTGGTGCCAGAGCCGCTCCTGTTCTGAAGATCCCTCAGGGTGAGCCGAGGGGGTGGCTGCTGCTTCTCCCTGCAGGGAGAGAGTGAGAGAGAGGAAGGAGTGGAACGGGGTACTGAAATGTTGTTGTCTGATGCCCCAGAAATAGAAAAAACGGGGAGAGCTGCAAGATTACACTACCCCTGCTTACCATCGCACTTGTTGAGATTCTGGAGGCAAAGACTGTTGCAGCAGAGTCTTGCCTAGGAGGTCCAGGTAATCCAGGCCACTGGTGAAAGGAGAAGGTTTGGGGGAGGATGTGCCAGCATCTGCTTTGACTGGTGGCGTTGCCGTGAGAGGGGCGATACTGAGCTCATTGCTGTCCGATGACTGTAAAAGAGAGCAGAGAGCCCCGCAAGCAGGGCTGCATATCAGCACCGACCATCTGATGTGGGACATTTCCTTACCTATTCCATCTGCTGCTTTCACCACCCACCCCACCCTCTGCCCTGGCTCCTGGCACATTACCTGGAA